GCTGTATTCTGGACGGAAGGTTTGTTACAGATATAAGAAGAGTACCAAGTGGGACCTTTTTCTGTACTATTGTTTTTATTGAAATCAGGTGAGACCAGCAGTATTTGCTTGATGTATGTGGTTTTAATCCAAGGTACCCTGTCTAATCTGTTGAGCTTAGGAGTATTGGCTATAATCCTAAGGAGTATTCAGTTCAGTGATTGGCATCAAATATTTCCTACGACACCCAATGACATTCGTTCGTATTGTAGTAAAAGGTATTTCACCCGGAGCATCGTTCGTGTTCGAGGCAGGCTAATCGCCCGTTTAGCCTTATGGTGGTACAAACTACAGCGTGCTAGAAGGTGTTGTTACAGGCCTGGTATGCTCAACTTATCCCCTTGTTTGTCCTTGTTCTTGGGTCTAGTTTTCCTGGGTATTATTTTCATTGTCGTGCGCTCAGACAAGCTTGAATTTGTACAAGGGCCTGCATCTTGATTGTTTGGCTCCTTGACTTGATTTCAGCTTATTTATAGTACAAGTCTGGTTAAGTTGAGCTAGTCTGGCAAACTAAGCAGCAATAACAATCAAAAGAACTTAGTTTGATTTCCCCATCAATTTTGAATCCGAAGCAGCACTGATAAATAAAATAAAAGTAGCAATAAGGGATATATATATATATATATATATATATATATATATATATATATATATAGGTAAATCATGTATTTATAATTATATATGGGCAACTTGTGTTCTCGTGTATATACTCCTCAAATGAGTGGTGTAACAGGAGGAGCAAACAAGAAGTACCATTGCGTATCCACAACACACCTGATAGCAAATGCAATACCGGTAAGAACAATAACAAGAACTAACCAACTAACTCTGCCTGTGAATAAACAGATGAATCCTGAAGGTGGAATCGATGGGGAGCTGAATTTAGGAAATATACGTTTGTTGGAAACGAATAAATGAACGTCCAAGAAAACAACAGCAGCCTAAACTGCTGGAATCTCTGCCTTTATTACACAACAATAATTCTTGTTTAACAAACCCAAGTCTTAAGCTGCCGTAGCTTTACAGGACAAGAAGCAAACGACACCACAACGGCGGTAGGGATAACAACCAATTGGCAACGACATCTTACAGAAAGAAGTAAACAGATCGAAAGGAAAGCTTCCAGAAACAACACTTGCGAAACAAATAATTAACCAAGCAAACCTCCTGTGAGCAAGCAGAGTGGCAAAACAGAGTGATCACTGGTATTGCACTGCAACCTTCATCTGATTTCCTGGGCGCTTCTCATTCAGTGTCTTTAGTTGCTCCATGGCACAGTTCAATGCTGGGTTGCCTTTCTGACCAGCGAGCTGCACCTCTTGAAGGCTTGCCAAATTCTTCATGCCTTGGACTCTGTTAAGCTCTCCTTTCCAAAAGCTCACACTGAGTGTCTCAAGCTCTGTCATTGTGTTTTCCTCAAACCGGACAGCTTCCATACTTTCAATGTTGAAGTTCAGGAACAGGTACTTGAGTGCCGGAAAGGTGTGGGCTGTTTGTGCAACCAGCTCTGTATCCTTGTAGCAGTTCGAGCCCAAGCGTAAGTACTTCAGCCTGGGCAGCTTACATATTGGGCCGAACAATTGGTCACCAACAAAGTATGTCCAAGCAATGACAAGCTCAACAAGATTATTCAGTGAGCTGATCCAGTTGGGCAATTTGTTAATGCCGGCACCAATCTTAAGATACTGGAGGAGCGCCGGTGGCATGTCGAGATCATGTAGAAAGTCCAATGTATCATTATCCCTACATACTTTACTACCAATGCTGAGCCACCGGAGGGAATACATCTTGCTCAGGGACCTGGCTAGCGTTCCCCTAACATCGTTATGATAAGGATTATCAGGATCCCTGATGTCCAAGGCTAACTCTCTCATTTTTTGTAGTTCACCGAGCTCTTTAGCAGCAGCATAATCATTACCAAAAACTATTGTATTCACCATTCGTAGCGCCTTCATTCTACCCAGGCCCTTGCGTGCAATCCAACACTCTGTGTACTCTTTGTTACTAATTTGCAGGTGCTCCAGTTTCTCTAGCTTTGACACAGTTTTGGGCAGATCTCTAAGGTCTGTCTCACGTACATCAAGGGTCTCCAAATTCTCTAGCCCACCGACTTCTGGAGGCAAATTAGTTATGTATGTACCTTTTAGGCCTAAAAACCTTAGCATGTACATCCGGCAGACATGTACCAAATGCTTGTCTTCCAGGCCCATGCAATCTTCCAGGTCAAGTACCCTGAGTAGGCTGAACTCGCCTAGACGATCAAGCACTTTTATGTGATTGAGGTCAAACACACTCAGTGATCGGACATGCTCCATCTTCATCTCCTTGATGGCATTCTTCCTACCATGGGATGTTGCAGTTTTGATGGATGCTACCTCTTCTCCACCATGGATGGACAGACGGCGAATTCTACCATACGACATCCCTTCATATGGGCCACCTACTAGGCTAATAAAGTTCTCATCCAGGGCTTTGGACACCATGACCTCATATACCATGTTATGTACCCGGCACGTCTCCACCTTTCCATCCCGCCAGCTGATTATATCATCGGCCCGATCAATCATGCTCCTTCTCACCAACTCGTTGTAGTAGATGTCTGCTACCTCCATTAAGGTCAACCCCTGAATCTCAGCAACCAGTCCTTCTGCGATCCATCTCTTCAAGAGCCGATTCTTAACGATTACATAATCCTCCGGAAAAAAACTGAGATGCATCATACAACCCTTGAGATAATGGTGCAGGTGGTTATAGCTGAGACTAATAATCTGCTTCATCCCCTCAAGGGTAGGGCGGCTCTCCATGTGAGTACCAATCGACTTGCGAACTCTCTCCCACATTTCTTTGCTCTCTGACGTTCTATAGCTCACCAAGAGGCCAGCAATGCTAATAATGGCCATTGGGAGCCCACAACACTTCTTTATAATTTTGTTCATTTCATCTTCCAGATCGTCGGGGCAAGAAGAATGATTAGGACCAAATATTCTGCCGAGGAACAACTCCTTGGTGTATTGCGAACTAAGGTTCTCGATCCAATAAATGCAATTTGTGCCTGATCCAGCATTGCTGCATGCTTCGGCAACACTCTCTAGCCGAGTGGTCACAATAATCCTGCTGCCGTTGTTGTTGTCTGGCAATTTCGATCTGATTGCGTCCCATGTTGCTACTGTCCATACATCATCAACCACAATGAGATACCTGGTTTTACATATGAATTCCATAGCTAATTAGAATGTGTGAAGTGCAAATGTTATGTTAATTATAAATTAGCTTAGTTACAGAAATTACAACCGCTTAGGGGCATCTCAAAAGACCTTAACGACATGATATCAAATATCTCTTTGGAGGCATGGGCTAATCAATGTGGAGTTTCTTGTATAGATTTATATTATCACAATTGTCCAATTTTATGTGCACATGCGTATTGCATTCTCTCCAACAAAAACCTGCAAGCGCCCAACACATTCAAGGATTTTTTTTCTCTAGTTGTTGCATACAAGCATATATGACGAAAATACTGATATCAGCGAAGATTCCATTGAACTTAAAAATTCAAAATATTTTATAGATCAAACCGTTACTTTAGTTGAAAAATCACTTTCACATAAAAATCGTCACTACAAGACCTTCGAAACTAGATCTCATATTGATATGTTCCGATGATCTTTTATTTTAAGTAAAGAGTTACCACCCCTAGAGTATTAAGTTATCACGCTTGTGATCCACAAGTTATCATGTTGTTTAGACAGAAATTACAGGGGCATAAAAATGGTTGTTTCAACCATCTTTCCACGTACACATGCATGCTTGCACTAGAGGATAAAAGAATGATGTCATCTTAGATTCTCCTTATTTCAAAAATTCAAAATTATTTGTAGGTCAAAATTATCCGTTATCTTGGTACATGAGTTAGCAGTTCTGTTGTGTGTATATTATCATGTTACTTATACAAAAATTACCGGGCATATGTTTTCAACAATTTTTATTTTGAGGTCAAAAGTTGCCGTAGTGTCTGTACATGAGTTATCAGCTATATTGTCATACATTATCATGCTACTTACAAACAAGTGGTGTTGGCTTAGTTTGTTGTTGGCTTTCTTAACTTCGCAGAAGAGATGGGTTCGAATCCCATTCCAAGCTTTCTTTTTCTTCCGCCTAAACAACAGTACCAATCAATCCGTTAGCCCTTAACCGCAACAGTGATTGAAGTGCGGGAGAGAAAATTGGGTCTTAACTGCGGTCAACATGCGGGCAGGAGAGAAATTCAGGATCCAATCTGCGGGCGACCAGATTCGGGCGGAAAAAAAAGGAAGGACTGACGCGCGCAGGATGAGGATCTGACGGCGAGAGGCGTTCGGATCTGATGGAAAAATTCGATCGTTTGGAATTTAATTTTCTCGTTTAAAGACTGACCAGTTCATACCTCATTATCTAAAAGTGCAGGTGGGTCAAATTTATATCTTGGTGACCCTGGCAATTCAACGCAGGAGAAGGAATTTTTTTCATTTTCCTCCTTGAATATCCCTTCACTCCGTTTGGATGTAGACATTCGCATGAAGAATTTGATATTGGCATTTACCTACCCGAATACGGCTGTTCAGATGGTCTTGGCATTCACGCATGGAATCGCGCCTCGATATCGAGCCATCCTCGACAACACTAGCCCCACTCGTTCCCGAATTCGGACCTCTACTCCTCCGATTTGCTTGATATTGCCTCGCCCCAGCGTACCCCTTCGTCTTGACCTCATAAAAAAGCTCTCACAGCCACCGGTGGACGCAGCTTGTACGGAACAGGTGCTCGCACGCCTGCAGCCGTCAGGCCTTCTCCCCGACCTGCAGCACGGCCATGCATATGCTGCACTGCGCCCACCCTTAATCAGTGCCGACCCTCTTGAAACCGAACGGAACTGTAGCAGTGGAGCTCCGCCGAGATCTGGCCGTAGCAATCCCGCCTCCATCTGTCGCAGCGGTGGGGCGTGGTCACCGTTGCAGGATGTCGACGACAAGGGAGGTGAGGATGAGGAGGGTGATGGCTGCGGCAAAGGCCCGGATCCCAGGAACATGCAGATGAAGAACAACAAGGGGACATCAAAGACGGAGATGCACAAACATATTTCATGGCAGGGCGGCGTCTGCCGGGCTACTGTTCTTCATGGCGGCTGGCTAGAGGACGGTGGCATGCATGCTTGGGTAGACGGCAAGGACGCAGGGCTGGTTTCGTCTGCGCCTGCGATCCCCCCGCGTTTCTCCTATTGCTGCCATGTGCTAACCTGGAGTTCCGCCTCCGGGGACCTCATCATGGCCGGCTGTTGCATGTCTGACTCTTCTTGTACTAGTACAAATGAGCCAATTCAATACTCCGACCATCCAAACAAGAATGAGCATTGGTCTCTCCTTGAATTCCAAATGCACAATGCATAAACATCCAAACACCTGAATTCGGGTTGAATCTCAATGTCAATGTCCCGGGGATTTGATATTGCAGCCAATTCAATTCCAAGGCTGTGAATGTCTACATCCAAACGAAGTGTTGTTGAATTGCCAGGCCGTGCCCCACATCGGCGCCAAGTGCTAGTATGCACGGTGGTTGTCTGCATGATCAGATCTGCCGTCTAAGAAAATGTCTGATGTGTAGTGTTCACTTTGATCCGTGATTCCGGTGCTGATTGGGACATTGTAGCATGACTTCTTCACTGGCATGTTGGTGGCGGCAACACCGAGGACCTCTTCTATGGTGGTGCGTACCCGGTCTCAAGTTTAGGGATGAAAATCCTAGGTATGGGTCCTTCTTTTCTGGGTGAAAACCCATGATTGGCCTATGTGGTTCGATCCGGCGATGACAGTGTTCCTGCACGGTTTCCTTGCTGAAGGTGTTGTCGTCGGGAATCTTCTCGTTGTTCGGGCGTTGTCAAAGGCAGTGGTAGTTGTTGATGTTTTGCTGTAGTGGGTTGTCGCCTCGCCTTGAGCCCCATGAGTCATTTTTTTCTTTTTTCTTTTGGTTGTGTGCAATCTAATTGTGCGGAGTCGGGTATGTACTCATTGTGCTTGTATTCGCTTGTTGCAACATTAAGAGCGTCGTTTGGCGAAAAGGAAAATAGGTTGAGCTGCGAAACATGCTTATTTTCCAAAATAAGCCTTTATTGCACGGGTTTCATTTTTGTGTGTGCAAGTAACAATGCTCTCCTTATGCTTACGTGTGCAAGCAACAATTCTCGGGTGCACGCTACATGCATATGCAATCAACCAACACCAAACAAATCTAAATTTGCATAAGGTGTAAAAAACATCATAAATGGTAAGTCCATCTACGTTCGGTGGATCTATCTTTGATGGATCTGTTCGAATTTTGTTGTTCATCTATGTTTATGTGTTTTCGAGCGCTAATATTTTCTTTTAACACCAGTACAGAGGAAAAACTGCCCCCGCGTCGTCCGCGTGGGCGACTCGGGCGGCGACTCGGGCGCCGGCGGGCTTGTCCGCGCGGCTGACGGCGGCGGCGGGGCTCCGTCCCCGTGAGGCGTCGTGCAACGTTTGACGAGATGCAGGCACCGGCCAGATCGAGGCTGTGAAGGTGAGTTGCTGCAGCGGTGCCGGCGATCCACGCGCGGCTTGATCCAACGAAAGATTGCTGGGGATGGTCAGATCACCACCATAGTGCCTGCTGCTGTCCCTCATGCATGGACGCCATTAAGGGGTGCAGGCAGCGGCTACAGGTTGTGAAGGCGACTTGCTGCAGCGGCGCCGGCGGTCCACACGCGGCTGGATCCAACGGGAAGGCTGGGGGTGGTCAGAACAGCACCATAGTGCCTGCTGCTCCCGCTCATGGACACCATTAAGTGGTGCCATCTCCACTGGTTGCAGCCACTCCCCGGCGCCATCAATCTTCGGCAAGAGCTCGTGAGCAGCTCTCTCTTCCCTAGCATGGAGTGGAGATTCGTCCACACTGGAACGGCCAGCTACTCTGGCGTCCACCATCAGGGGCAGCCCAGCTAGTTGAGGCGGTGGCCTAGCGCAGTTGTCGCGGCCGTCGCCGGTGTCGCCAGCTGGGAGGCGGTGCTTACTTGGGCTCGGGCGCAAGGCAAGGACGACGGAGTTAGTGGCAATGTCTCATGCTGTCGTCTCATGCAGATCAGCTACGGGCTGCCACTTTGTGAGGATGGTGCGGGGCGTCCGAAGTGTCCCAAATTTTGGATTTTGGTAGTGCCACTGTTCTTCATCCCCATCAGACTTCGTCGGGTGGTAACGAGCGGCTTCGTCGTGTCAGGTCAGCTTGCTCATGCCGGCATGACCATCGCTCACCACCAGAACCGTGTGCACATGCAGCTATTGGGATCAAGGCAAGTGGAGGAGACAACATAAGATGACTTCGATTATTGGATGGTACTTCTCGTGTACCCAGTCTCGAGTTCCGGGGTGAGAACCCTAGGTCTGCTGACCTTGATTGGTTATACCTAGTAATGGCGTCGTTTTTTGCGTCGTTACCCTGGTGAAGGCATTGCTCGGAGTTTTGCTCGGATTTGATCTTCAGGGTGAAAACCCATGTTCTGACCTTTGGTGGTTGGACCGGTGACGGCGGCGTTTGCGCGTCGCTCTGTTTCTGGAGGCATCGCTTTTGAAGAAACTTTCTCGTAGTTCTTCTGTTGTCAAGAATTGGTTGGCGCCCAATGGTCACTGCTGTGTTTCGTCGATCATTGTGTTTCTTGCTTCAGGGTTTTCTTTTTCTCCATCCGTTTAGGCATAGCTTCGGTCTTGTAAGACTTTGCTTTTTGCCGGCATGATTGTTTGTTTGTGTGTGTGTGTTGCATTGGCTATGTGCATCTTAGTTATGCAGAGGCCGGGTGTGTATTCATTATGATTGTATCGCTTGATGCTACACTATGAGTCAATAAAGAGCACTCTTTATCGAAAAATGTTTATGTGTTTTCAGGTTGGTT